AATATTATTATTAAACTGTGATTGTTCTAATCTATGAAAGCCAGCTTTGAACCAGTCTCTCTTTCTCTCTCTCAGCCCAACCCACTTCACAGGGTTGTTGATGTAGTGAAAATAGGAGGCGTAAGTAAGTAAGTAAGTAAGTAAGTAAGTAAGTAAGTAAGTAAGTAAGTAAATAAGTAAATAAGTAAATAAGTAAGTAAATAAGATCATTACCAGTATTCCCAAATAGAAATGCTGGTCCTATATGCCAGGGGTTCCCAACCTCATCCGCTTTATGACTTGTGGACTTCAACTCCCAGAATTCCTCAGCCAACCATGCATGGCTGGCTGAGGAATTCTGGGAATTGAAGTCCACAAGTCATAAAGCAGACAAGGTTGGGTGACCTCTGCTATACGCCCTGTTGGGGATGGCATCTTTAACTGGTAAGACTGAAAAGGAGAAATTGGTGGGAAGTATCAGCCTCATATTATTACAACATAAAAGCCTGGCATCTATATCGGCAATGCGAGAGACCAAAGTTATTCTGAAAAGTTTATTGACCTGTTTGGATTTCTCCTCTCAAGAAAAGTCGAGAAGTTTAGATCTTATTTTGAGTTAAGCTGCTTGTTTGTTTGTTTGTTTTTTACTCTTGTTTACTGCAAAACTTTTCTTAAGGCGAAAGTCTCGGAAATTTTGATACCCATCCCAGCCAATGTCAGGGCTTGCAGTCTCCTGACTATAACCGGGCCACGAAATCATGGTGCCAAGTTTTAATAAAACCTTGCGGTTGTTGCTGTTTGTTGGGGGGGGTCTTCTGTACAGACCCCATCACTGGGTACAAGTAATCCAGTGGTGGGATTCGGCTGGTTTGCACCACTTTGGCAGAACCGGTAGCTAATTTTTTGTTGCCCAGGCCCAGAAGGGGCTTCTGGAAGCAGCATCCACACAGAGAACCGGTTGTTCACATATTTGAATCCCACCACTGAAGTAATCCTCGACTTAACAGCCCAAAATTTCTTTTGCTGGGTGAGACAGTTGTTAAGTTAGTTTTGCCTCATTTTACGACCTTGCTTATCACAGTTGTTAAGTGAATCACTGCAGTTGTTAAGTTAGCAACGTGGTTGTTAAGTGAATCTGGCTTCCCCCAATTGGCTTTGGCCTGTCAGCAGGTTGCCAAAGGGGATCCCAGAACCCAGTAGATACTGCGACTGTCATAAATACAAGTTGTCAAATGCCTGAATTTCGATTAAATAACCATGGGGATGCTGCTAAGGTTGTTAAGTATGAAACTCAGTCGTACGTCGCATTTTTCAGCACCATTGTGACTTTGAACGGTTGCTATATGGACCGTCGTAAGTTGAGGACTACCTGTGCTGTGGAAATTGGCCATCCTTGAGATATTTCTGCTCTCATTATTAAGGAGCTGCTGGCAGCTTGGTCAGAGATTTGGGGGTCATCTTGCTTGGCGTAGATGCTTTTTATGCTATCCTTTTCACTAATAATAAAAGTTTAAAATCCCCCCAAATCCGAAAGAACCAATGGCCTGGGCACCCGATCTGATGCTGGACAAAAGAGAGTCCCGCAGTACCTTTTCTGAACTTTGATTAAAAGCTTCGGGGAGCTGCGTTTCATTTAATCCGAGTGCATAGATTGGCTTGACGGCTGAATGCATCAGATGAAGCGAGCTTCAACTCACAAAAGCCTCAGCCTTTTAGTAAAGTTTGTTAATAGGACAACCTGCTCAGGGATTCCGTGTTCTATTTTGTTGTAATATAATGCCGATTTGTTCTCCCTCCCTTTCAAAAAAACTCTGCTTTTTTTTTTTTGCTATCATAAAATAATCTCCTGTACAAAGGGTTCTGGATACTCTCTGAGCTTGGTTGTTTTCTTGCAGACATTTCATTACCAAACTAGGTAACTCCATCAGTGCTAGTAGGGAGTAGGGTTTGTGATGATGATGAAGAGGAGGAGGAGGACAAAGAGGAGGAGGAGGAGAAGGGGAGGAAGATGAGAAGGAGGAAGAGGACGGGGAAGTCCTTGGTGCTCTCTGAGCTTGGTTGTTTTCTTGCAGACATTTCATTACCAAACTAGGTAACTCCATCAGTGCAAGTAGGGAGTAGGGTTTGTGATGATGATGAGGAGGAGGATGATGAGGAGGAGGAGGAGGAGGGGAGGAAGATGAGAAGGAGGAAGAGAACTGGGAAGTCCTTGGTGCTCTCTGAGCTTGGTGTTTTCTTGCAGACGTTTCATTACCAAACTAGGTAACATCATCAGGGCTAGAAGGGAGTGGGATTTGTGAGGAGGAGGAGGAGGAGGAGGAAAAGGGAGGAAGGTGAGAAGGAGGAAGTGGACGGGGAAGTCCTTGGTGCTCTCTGAGCTTGGTTGTTTTCTTGCAGACGTTTCATTACCAAACTAGGTACCTTCATCAGTGCTAGTAGGGAGTACCGTAAATGCCGGCGTATAAGGCGACTTCCACAAGCGCTGAAATTGGCGCCAAAGACGGGGGTTGTCTTATATGCCGAGTCATCTTATACACCGGAAATACTGGTAGTTTCCGGCGTATAAGACGACTTTCTAGGAATGCGGCCCGGCTATAAAGACGGGGGTCGTCTTGTACGCCGGCATTTACGGTAGGGTTTGCTCTCATTTTATATTCTGACGGGCTTGCCCTGTCAGTGGGAGTAATCTTGGAGGTTCTTTGGTTGGGCTGTTTACGGTTAGCTTGTTTGTGATATTGTTTGCTTCTTGATTGTTGGCCTAACGATGGTATAACACCAGACTAACCTTTGACCAATGCTCAAGAAGTAAATAATACCTCAAACAATCTAACCATAAACAGTTCAACCAAGAAATCTCCAAAACCATTTCCACCCACACTGATATAGGGCAAGCCGCCAGAACATAAAATGAGAGCAAACCCCACTCTCTTCTAGCACTGATGATGTTATCTAGTTAGGTAATGAAATGTCTGAAAGAAAACAACCAAGCTCGGAGAGCACAAGGACCCCTCATTTTAGTCCTGAGCTACAAATATCGATATTCTCCTATACCAGGGGTAGGCAACCTTGGCTCTTTTATGACTCGTGGACTTCAATTCCCAGAATTCCTGAGCCAGCCATGCTGAGGGGAAAGGGAGAGGTTTCCAAGCTGAGCCATGCTGGCTCAGGAATTCTGGGAGTTGGAGTCCACGAGTCATAAAAGAGCCAAGGTTGCCTCCCCCTGTCCTATATAATGAAAAACTTCACTTCAGGCCTTCCGCTGTACGATCCACTGCAAACTTCAGGTCTGCGGAATGTAAAATTCCTTCTCTTGCATTCCAGCTCCGAGTCGGAAATTGGATTCAGCGGCTGAAACGAACCTTTCTCATTCAATGATTTTCACTGACTTTCCCTCCATTCTCCTGTGACTTGTTAATTATTTTGGCTTTTCTTTCTTTACCAAGGCATCACCCCCCCCCCTACGCTGTTCCATTGTTTGATAGGGAGTTGGATGGTGCCTTAATTTGAGAAAGGGAAAGGATGTCGCTTCGGCTGAGTCAGAGTTGCCAGTCAATGGAAACCTGTTGGCAGTTCCCTCCCTTCCATCCAGGACATGGCATAGAAGCAATGCTTGAGCAGAGTCCGTGAGATTGTGCGGGACGCTACGCAGCTTCTCCATGACCTGTTTTCCTTGTTCCCTTCTGGGAGGAGGGGGCTCCGTGGTATCAGAAGCAGAACACCCAGATTCAGTCACAGTTTTGTTCCATACAGTATTAACCCTGTGAACTCTAAAGCTTCCTCCTTCCGCTATGTATTCAAGATGGACAGTGATTAGTATTTATGATATTTATACGTAAGGGTGTAGGTTTATATATATGCTGCATATAGCATGTTTAAATGTGTGTTATGTATGTGTACACTTTTGAGAGCAAGCAACAAAATTTCATTTTTAATGTGTGCCAATGTGCCCACAGTAAAAATGGCAATAAAGGTTATCTATCTATCTATCTATCTATCTATCTATCTATCTATCTATCTATCTATCTATCTATCTATCTATCTATCCCTATCATCCATCCATCCATCCATCATCCATCCATCCACCCACCCACCCACCCACCCACCTACCTACCTACCTATCTATCTATCCCTATCATCCATCATCCATCTATCTATCTATCTATCTATCTATCTATCTATCTATCTATCTATCTATCTATCTATCTATCCCTATCATCATCCATTCATCCATCCATCTATCATCTATCTATCTATCTATCTATCTATCTATCTATCTATCTATCTATCTATCCCTATCATCTATCCATCCATCCATCCATCCATCCACCCATCCACCCACCCACCCACCCACCTATCATCTATCTATCTATCTATCTATCTATCTATCTATCTATCTATCTATCCCTATCATCCATCCACCGTCTGTCTGTCCATCCATATCTCTCTCTCCCCCCCCCCCCCTCTCTCTCTCTCTCAACCTTGGCAACTTTAAGAAGTCTGGACTTCAAGTGACGCTGGCTGGGGAACTCTGGAAGCTGAAGTCCAGACTTCTTAAAGTTGCCAAGGTTGAGAAATCCTGCTCTAAACAATACTGGAATAAAGAGGCCAGGGGTTTGTGTCAGGAAAAGACTATGCTTTGTGTCAACAGATTGAAAGTCTTGTTTCTCTGATAAAGGAGAAAATCAAAATCCCAAAGGCATGCTAGCATTGGGCTCTCGGTCAACTCTCTATAAGTCCACACAACTGCCACACATATTCCAAGATAGACTGCCTCTGATGCTGGGAGTTCTATTTAGCTCTGTAGAAAAATGGAAGCTACAAATTTTTCTCCTGAGTTAGTCTCCCCGTCAGTTCTTCTAAACCAGTGCTCGGTTTCACCAACAGCAGGGCATGTAAACTGAGTTCCTTTTTTGTCACTGTGAGACATTTGAAGCCAAGCCTTTGATGCCAACTCTCATCTCTCGGCTCAAGCAAAGCAAAATCTGCTCGGATCAGTTTTCCCAGCCAAGAAAATGCCTCACCTGAGTGCAGACTGTTCTCTTTGGCAGAGTTGCTGTTGCTCAGATAATCTTCTTTGCAGACAAATTTGTTCTCGTCAATGATATAAAGTTCCTCGCCGGTTGACAGTTGCTTGTTGCACATCATGCAAGTGAAACAGTTCAGATGAAAGACTTTGCTCCTGGCCCTCCGGACCAAATCGCTGGGACAGATGCCCTGCGCGCAGCCAGCACACTTGGTACCAAAACACCTGGAGGGAGGGGAATGGGGGAGAGAAAGAGGGAAGGAGGGAAGGAGGAAAAGGAAGGGAGAGAAGAAGAAAGGAAAAGAGTGGAAGATGAAGGGGAAGGAAGGAAGGAAAAAGAGGGAGGGAATAAGAAAAAGGAAGGGAGAGAAGAAAAGGAAAAATGGAAGATAAAGAGGAAGGAAGGAAGGAAAAAGAGAGGAAGGGACGGAGGGAATAAGAAAAAGAAAGGGAGAGAAGAAGAAAGGAAAAGAATGGAAGATAAAGTGGAAGGAAGGAAGGAAGGAGGAAGGAAGGAAGGAAAAAGAGGAAGGGAGGGAGGGAATAAGAAAAAGGAAGGGAGAGAAGAAAAGAAAAAATGGAAGATAAAGGGGAAGGAAGGAAGGAAAAAGAAGAAGGGAGGGAGGGAATAAGAAAAAGAAAGGGAGAGAAGAAGAAAGGAAAAGAATGGAAGATAAAGGGGAAGGAAGGAAGGGAAAGGAAGTTAAAAGGGAAGAAAGGAAGGGAGGAAAAAGGAAGGGAGGAAGAAGAAAAGAAAGGAAGGAAAAAGGGAAGAAAAGGAAGGGAGAGGGAGGAAGGAAGGAAAAGAAAGGAAGTTAAAAGGGAAGGAGGGAAGGAAAAAGAGGAAGGGAGGAAGAGGAAAAGAAAGAAAGGAAGGAAGGAAAAGAGGGAAGAAAAAGGAGATGGATGGAGGGAGCGAGGGAGGGAGGAAGGAATGGGAAAGAGAGGAAGGGAGGAAAAGGAAGGAAGAAAGAAAAAGGAGGGAAGAAAAGGGAGAGGAAGGAAGGAAGGAAGGAAGGAAGGAAGGAAGGAAGAACAAATCAGTGATTCAGATGAAGCATTTTTCTGGTTAAAAAAAAAAAACTGAAGAGGGATAACCATGAATCCAACCCAAATAGACCGGCCAATACACCCACCTGGTGTATCTTAGATCTGCTGGATCAACTCCTTTGATTTATTTATTGGATTTCCATCCTCCTCTTTTATTTAGGAGCCGAAAGAGGAAAGACTACCACCCTCCCCCTTATTTTTCCCCACAACAACCCTGCACGATAGGTTGGGCTAGGGATGCTACCCTGCCCAAAGCCACCCAGAGAAACTCTGTGCCTAAGGGAGGATTAAAACCTGGGTCTCTTTGCTCTTAATCCATCATCTTCCCCACTAGACTAAACTGATTCTCTGGCTGAGAGAAAGGGATGACCTTGGGAGATCTTCTATGGCTGAGGGAAGATTAGAACCCAGGCCTCTGTGCTCCTAGACCAGCATCTTCTCCACTACCTCATATGAGCTTTGGAGCTGAGAGAAAATGATTAGTTCAAAGTCCCCCAGGAGCTTCCATAGCTGAAGTGGAACTCGAACCTCAATCTCAGTCTTCCCAATTCCAATTTAACAGAAAAAACAGAGTTAGAAGGGACCTTGGAGGTCTTCTAGTCCAACCCCCTACTCAGGCAGGAAAATCTATACCATTTCAGACAAATGGCTGTCCAGTCTCTCCTTAAAAGCCTGCAGTGTTGGAGCACCCACAACTTCTGGTGGCAAGTCATTCCACTGATTAATTGTTCTCACTGTCCGAAGATTTCTCTTTAGTTCTAGGTTGCTTCTCTCCTTGATTAGTTTCCACCTAATCAATTTGGCATTTACACCCACTGGCAATTTTTTCCCCTAGCCAAAACTGAAGGATTTGGAGGGTTATAATCCAACGCCTTTGAAAAACACGCATTGTGATGAACAACAATCAAGGAAACCACATCTTGAGGTGTCACACCAGGGTATGTAAACCCAATCTTTCTCTCTTCTCCTCTACAAAAAAGGTAGCCAGTTCCAACTTTGAACCCCCTTTATCAATGCTGGGACTTTTACTTCAGCTTTATCTGAAGGCTGCCACCTCATGTTACACTGAAGGAATCAAATAGGAGACAGACATCTTTTCATTTTTGTTTTAATTTGAGGGAAGAATGTACACCGTGTTTTTCAACCTCTGCAGCTTTAAAATGTCTGGACTTCAATTCTCAGAATTGACCAGTCAACGTGCTATAAGTTCTATGGACTTCAACTCCCAGAATCCCCCAGCCAGTGTGCTTGAAGCTCTGTGGACTTCAACTCCCAGAATCTCCCAGCCAGAATGCTTGAAGCTCTGTGGGCTTCAGCTCCCAGAATCCCCCAGCCAGTGTGCTTGAAGCTCTGTGGACTTCAGTCCCAGAATCTCCCAGCCAGTATGCTTTAAAATGCTTAAAAATATTTAGAGACTTGAGACTTAAGACACATCTTAGAAAGAAGTCTACACATCTTAAAGTTGTTAAGGGTGATAAAGACTGTTTTACATATACATAATATTTCACTAGTAAATATTATTTTAAGCCAATTTTCTCTTTTTTGATTTTTGAAAATCTATTTCTGTAGGCATTGTCAGCTGAAGTCATTGAAAAAAGAACACCATGAACTTGGAATAATCGTCTGGTTTTTAAAAGTAATCTTTTCTTTCTCATAGCAGCCAGAACACAGTCATAAAAAAGGCATTTAAGGGTGGGTAAAATACCGCTAGGGGGCAGCACTGAGCCAACATTGGCAAATCTCAGGAAGAGAAACGGAATTGAATTGAGTTAATATGGAATGAACGCCCCCAGGAGATCCCAAGGCAATGGCTTGGAACAAGGAGTCAACGAAACTTCAGAGAAAAAGAAAATGACAAAACGCTTTTGATATTTTCTGGTTCTGTTTCCAAAAAATAAAGAGTGTGCCTCTTGCACTTGTTGTGAAAACAGCAGAAACAGGACAACAATGTAACATTTTAAGCATCCATAGATAAATAAATTAGGGTGCTAAGTGCACATTCACTCAAAGGGAAGACTATTTCTCTCCACCAGCTACATAAAAACGATATAGAGGAACAGAAAGAGACTTCCTACTTATAAGTACCAAACTTAAAAATAAGTTTCTCAACACTGCTCTATCCCTGACTGGGGAATTCTGGGAATTGAAGTCCACCCATCTTAAAACTGGCAAGGTTGAGAAACACTGAAGTAGAGGCTGACTTTATACAACATGTTGACAATGTCAAGAATAAAACCTCAGTATTGTCAGGAAGTAAATCTAAATACATTTCTGAACATGTGCAGAAGACCAACACAACTCCCCCTGCGCACATACACCGTTTCCTTGTAATGAAATTTTATAGCAGGGGTCTTCAAACTTGGCCTTTTTATGACTGGTGGACTTCAACTCCCAGCATTCCTCAGCCAGGCATGCGTGCCTGGCTGAGGAATTCTGGGAGTTGAAGTCCACCAGTCATAAAAGGGCCAAGTTTGAGGACCCCTGTTTTATACCAAGGAAAGAGACAGATCCAAGAGAAAGATGCTTGTTTAAAAACAGTGCTTCCCAAATTTCTGGAATGTGTGAAAGCAGATTAAAGCAAAACTTAGGTTGGGCTCATGGGCAGCTGAGAAGGATCTGAAGTTTTCTCCATAAAATGGGATCAATTGATCTAGATGAGCTGTTTTTGTTTATGTATCAAGATATTATTTCTCTAACCCTGCAGTCTCCGAGCTGAATTAGATCCTCCCTTGAACTACAGGTGGTTCTTCACTTACGACCACAACTGAGACCAAAATTTCTGTTGCTAAGTGAGACAGTTGTTAAGTGAGCGTTGCCCCATTTTAGGACATTTCTTGGCACAGTTGTTAAGCAAATCTCTGCACTTAACGGTTGTTAAATGAATCTTAAGCTGAGGACAACCTGTATTCCATAAATACATCTCCAAACAGTCTGGAAAGGGTAACCTCTGAATTATTTTACTTATTTATGTATTTATTTATTTATTTATTTATATCCTGCCTTCATTATTTTTACAGGTAACTCACGGTGGCAAGCTACACTGTTAAACATACCTTCTTCTTATTTTACCCACAACAACAAGGGGTCGGGCTGAGAGACATTAATTATTTAATCATCTTTATGATGAAAAAAGCTTGCTGAAAATGATCAAGACACAATAAAACCAGAATATCTACTTTAAACCTGTTTCCTGAAACTGAAGATCAAGGTAAAAACATCTCCCTCAAATCCAATTCCATCAAGTTATCTTGGCAATAATATGAAAGTAATGGGTGTGGTTGGGGTTACTGGTTAACACCTATAGCTTCAGTATATCTCTTGGTGGTCTCCTATCCAACTAATAACCAGGTCCCGTCCTGCTTAGCTTCCCAATTGGCTACTTGTTGAGAGCTCCTTGACAGTAAGAAGGAAAAAAGAAAAGGAGAAGAAAATCAATATACAGTAGAAGCCCAGATATACTGTTTTTTTTATTCTTTCTTTCTTTCTGATCCAAACAAGCACACCAAGAAGTAAAATAATAATAGAAAAAAAAAATCAAAAGCATAAAATTACGCTTCAATCAGTTAATCAGTAAGAACCGAGTGATATGAGGTGAGCTTTTTTAAATACCAAGAGAGAATGTGGCTTAGAGCAGGCCATCCTGTTAAACTCTGAAAGGATTTATTTGCATGTATATAGCATGTTACATGAACCCAACCACGGCATTTTGATCATCCCGATTTAGAGGTTTAGCACTGAGCAGTCATAACTGAATACAAATTACAGTTTCCATTACATTTCATCAAATGCACAGCGCTACCTACTTACCGATAATAAAATCCCCGTGTCTGCGAGATGTATTTATTTATTCATTTGTTCATTGTGTTTATGGCCCTTCTTTTTTTTTTCTTTTTGCAGCGCGCGCTTCTCTGAATCAATTCCTTTTTTTTCCCCAAAAAGGAATTATACAAGACTTCTCTCTCTCTCTCTCTCTCTCTCTCTCTCTCTCTCTCTCTCTCTCTCTCTCTCTCATCCCATTAAAACAACCCTGTGGGGTAGGCTGAACTGAGAGTTGATCAACTGGTTCAAAGTCACGGTTGGGGCCTCTGTGGATCAAGGGGAATTCAAAGCAGAGGTTTTAATAGAAGCTTAGAGATTTCTATTTCGTGTCCTCGATCCTGATGGAAGTCAACCCT